AATTCATACAAACTTGCACACAAAATTCTACCAGAACCACCAATAAAAGGGATATATTGCATATTCAGTACAATGTAAAAACAGAACAGTAGAAGAGTAGTATTATTATCAATTATAGTTGTCAAAGGAACTTTGTGTAAACAAGCAACTTTCCAGAATACACTTTGAAACTCAAATTTTCTGCCACCCATACCAAACATGAGTATATCCACTCACAGCTAAAATAAATAAATAAATGGAAACCTGCACAATTACCGTTGGAGAGATGTAAAACTGGTCCATTCCATATTTTTTCCTTTAGATAGGCAGCATATCCTTGGCCAGTACCATTAAGTGTTTAATGTTGGCTAGCGTTTTGTTGCTTTTACGTTTTATTGCCAAGCTTACATGTTATTGTTGTGCTTCGTCACTGTTTGCTTTTATGTTTTTGAATACTATCAGCTCAGAGAGCCATGTCAAAATTTGCTGGATAGCTCAGTGGTTTAAGTCATGGTTGGGAATTCAAATCCCCACTGTGCTGCCTTGACAGGGGCTGGATTTGATGATCTCGGTTTAAGTCATGGTTGGGAATTCAAATCCTCACTGTGCTTCCTTGACGGGGCTGGATTTGATGATCTCTAGGATCCCTTCCAGCTGTACAGTTCTAAGTTTAGATTATGAAAGATAAATTAATAAATATTAAAAAGCCATATAAAATAGCCTTCTGTATTCCCATATATGTATGCATATTTCCACAAAAATAAGACTCAGTGATTTCAATGGAACATACTCAAAGGCATGAATACATAGGACTGTGGTTAATTTGTGACAGATGTACTGCACATATTACATAAATACAGTAAAGCCATGGGAAGAAGCTTGTAATTATCTACGATCCAACAACAGCAGGAAGTTGCTGTTGCAAATGGAAATATGGATAAACTATCATTCTCAGCAAGGGACACATACTAAGATCCTTTAATAGCATTCATGTGGGGGAGGGAGATTTTAGGACTGCACAACTGATAGCTGGAAATACCTGAAAATCATCAGTATTTGGCTGGAGTTGGGAGAACAGTGACATTAAACAAAACAGCATGGCAGAATATAAAAATTGGCGGGTTATATAGCACAGCTGGCTGCATAATTTCATTGTAATTTATAAGGCCACAACATCTGGCTTCTGGCAGTTGGGTTTCCATCTTTTTATTTCATAGTCCAGGTTTCTCTCCGCTGTGGGCAGGGGGAATGGATCAGCAGATTTTTACATGTTGAATCTGATGAAAAATGTTCATATTTGCTCACAAATAGTAAAGTGAAAGAAACTGTGAGATCATTTTTAAAAACTCATTTTTACTGAGGTGAACATTTAGAAAAGTTACTTTTTTAGACCATTTCCAGACTCTGTTTAAAGTTATGGTTATAAATAAGAAGCAATAGCAGTGAAACATCTTTTGTGGTCACCTAAATCCACCACATAAAAACATGAGAACTTTCCTCCTAGATCACAACAAACATGAATTCTACTAATAATAACCTTAGAACTGCAGAGCTGGAAGGAATCCTATAAACATTGAGTCCAGCCCCTGTCAAAGAGGCACAGTGGGAAACTGAAGTCTCAACCTATGGATTTGATTTAAATTGGGAGAGGTAGGGGAGAGCCAGTTGATTCAGTGGTTAGAGTATTAGACTGTGATTTGTGAGGTCCAGGTTCCTCTCTCTGCTCAGTTACAAAACTCACTGGGTGACTTTGGGCCAGTCTCTCACAGCCCAATTTACCCTTCAGGGAGTTGTTGTGGAGATGAAGCTTAAGGATGCCAAATATACCACCTTCAGTTCACTGGAGAAAAGATGGAGTAGTGATAATCCTCTTAGAACTGGAAGGGATCCTGTGGATCGTTGAGTTTGGCCCCTCTCAAGGAGACACAGTGGGGAAAATAATTTGAAAATAATTTGACCCAATGCGGGGAGGCAGTGGAAGGCAGGAGGACCTGGCATGCTCTGGTCCATGGGGTCACGAAGAGTCAGATACGACTAACGACTAAACAACAGCAAATCCAGTGTAATGATAATAATAAGAGAAGGAAAAAATGGGTTGAGTGACTTTGGGTCAACTGCACACTCTCTCTCTCTCTCTCCCTAAGGCACAGGAGTCCTTTAAGAGTATTTGAAAGGATGTTAACAAAACCTTACCTCTTTGCCCCCATCTATTGTGCCTTCGTGTTATTTGGCTTAATTATTTTATATTTAGTGTGTTTTTTTTCTTTGTTTAATATGTTGTTTGCTTATTACTGTCATTTTATTATGTGTTTATGTCAAGGAACTGTAAGGTGCCCCAGTAGTAGGCATGCCACGAGATGAGTGAAATGGATGGGTGGACGGATGGATAATTATAAATAAATAACTGCCTGAAGATGGGCAGGATGGATGGATCGGTGGATGGATAAATAAACCATTGCCTGAAGATACGGTAGATGTGTGGGTCGATAGACAAGACAGATCTGCCTGAAGGTGAGGTGGAAGAGTTTCTGGCCAGAAGAAGTGGTTTTGATGTGATTTTAAGACATTTCCTTCGTGTTTGGAGACTCACAATTAAGTGATTTCTTTATTATTATGATTATTTTTTCTCCTGAGTCATGCCATCTTGGTATTGCGTTGAATGTAACTAATTGTTATAATTGTACTTTTGATGATTTTATATATGATATACTGTTTGTGTTTTTATCTATGTGAGCCACCCCGAGTAGCCATTAATAAGAGGGGCGGGGCAAAAATCGAATAAATAAATAAATACAAAAATAAATAAATAAATAAATTCACCGTTTCACACCCTTTATAACTGGGTACCACGACGCTCCCCATCACTCTTTTTTTTCTTTCTTTCCGGTTTTTCCAACTGCACAGCTATCAGCCTCAAACCACACGCTTTCAACACAAGACCTGCCACCAGCCGGAGCCCACCTCACAAGACTGTTGTGCGAATGAAGTGGAAAGGACGGCAGACGCCGGCACCGCCTTGCGCTCCTCAGAGAACACGGCACCGATGAAGGATCATGTTTACAAAAGCCCCCTTCTTCCTTCCTTCCTCTCTTCGTTCCTTTTCCCCGCTACCGTCTCCAGGGCGATTTAAACGGGGGAAACCGAGCAGCGGTTGGCAGCGCCCCCCAAACGACAGCCTTTCCTTATGCGCATGCGCGCTTCTAAGCCTCCCTCATGGAAACGGCGAAAAGAAAGGAGAGACCGTTAGCCAGGCGGCCGGCTTTCGTTGGGCGCGTGATGACGCAAGGGGGTGCGCCGGAGGGGGCGGAGCGCGCGAGTGCGCGGGGAGGCCTGATTGGTGCGCCGCTCGGGGAGGAATAAGAAGGAGGGGGGTGTTGTTGCCTGGGGTCACGCGAGCGTCGCAGGCTGATTGCGCAATCCGGCGAGCGATGGTGCCGCGGTGAGCGATGTAGCCCGAGGGGGTTCTCGCCTCACGGAGGGCAGGCGGGTGGGTGGGTAAGAGAGGCTACAGGCAACGCGCTTCTCTTCCTCCGCCAGGATGCGCGGAGAGCTGCGGCAGCGGCCGCCGG